CCCCCCCACCACCACCACCACCACCATCACCACCACCACCTTCATTACCCTAAGTTATAGGCATGTGTGGTATCTATAAAAATGTCAGAATCTTAGCTAAAAACTCATAAAATCCATTTCTACATCCACCAGACACAGCACAAACTTCAAGAAAATTCCTGGGGGCTTAAGAGGTTAAAGATGACTATGCAAGAAAAGACAGTGACAAAAAGGGAAATGATAAAAAATTTAAAAATGTTACTTGTGGGGCCAGATTAAATGATAACAAGGGCCGGATTTGGCCTGCAGGCCTTGCGTTTAACACTTGTTTTAGAGTCAAGTCAACAGAAGGTTTCTGCCACACACGGTTAAGATTTGATATGTCTGCTGATGAGCTGTTGAAGCTAAAAATGCAGAAAATGCAATAATAATAATAATAATAATAATAATAATAATAATAATAATAATAATAATAATAATAATAATAATAAGGAAGGCTTGTTTTTCTGAAAACAAGCTTTATCTTTAGTTCCTTTTTTCAGTTAACTTTATTGTTACATTGTTATCACATTTGTGTTTGTTCTGCTAGAAACTGGAGAAGTATTTTTTAACAAGTGCAGGATTTGTTTAAACTGCAGAACATTATTTCAGAGAATAAAGAATAATAAATCTTCTAAAACACTTGTCACATTTTCCACCTTAAAAGCACTGCTAGCACACACTAATAACTTTAAATTTTACTGCCTGAATTAGCTTCAAGAATCACAAAACTTTTATACTTTTGTAATTTTTTGTCTTAACATGACATTTTTACATGTTTCTGTAAAGCACTGCCTGGAACTTACATCTTTATTTAGAAGTGTTTTTCTTATTTAGGTAATTAATATATAAATGAACCACACTGCACATAATTTACAACAACAACAACTAAAAAAATAAATTTTAAAATGACTGCGTGCTAAACTAGGTTAAACTTCTGTGCAACATTTGAAACACACAGAAACAGGAACAGAACTGTTGCTACAAATATTTATCAGTATTTGGTAAATTTGCTCCTGTCACAATGACCTGAATAAAACGTGACTTACAATTAAAAAAAATCATTTAAAAACATTTGCAATATTTATTTGTTTAAAATCAACATTTGACATTATGTAAGCTAACTACTCCCATTGCCTTTGCAACCTTTGGAAAAATATTCAAATTCTTGGAAGGTTAAATGCTGAAAAATATAGTTTTAAATGCATAAAAACTTAAAGATTGATTTAAAAATGTTGTTTTTGGTAAGACAAGAAATTACAAGTTGTTAGGTGAGACTAAAGGACACTGACTGACAAACCTGCTGAAAAACAACAAAATTGTTTTATTGGATTATTTTTGAGTTATAATCAGGATTTAAAACTCTGATCTTGAGGGTTGAGATGACAGGTACAGACAGGCTGAGTCTGTTTRAAAGCCATCAGACAGTCTCTGCACTGTCAAAAGAAACCCATAAACGACTCGGTTCAGTCCTAATATTTCTCATTTGAAGGCCCCTCAGATAAAAGTTACGAAAACTTGAAATTTATCATCCAAAATACAAAATTCTGCCACAGTTCCCTTGTGATTTTTTTCATTTTATGCTGTAATTCCAAAGATCTAAACATTACTCATCAACATAAAGTTATAAACTGTTGTGAAAGAAAATCCTAAGATTATTGTGAGAATTTGTGTATAATAAATAACATGACAAGAACAGGACTGCTGGTCGCTTTGTGATGAAAGATTTATGGGCCTGTGTGCCCTCTGTCTCTCAGCTGGTTCTACTGTCACTTCCCCTCCTTTTTTTTGTCACTCTCTGTGATCCTCGCTGTCACTGTGAGTCAGCTGTGCCGAGCGGTTCCTGTCATACGAACAGAGATGACCGAGGGAATCCTGAATTTCCTGCTCTTGCCCTAAACTGCCCCTGGACTGGTGATGGGGTAACAACTGCAGCTGCAGGTTCATTGCAAAAAGATTTGATTGTTGAGGCAATAACTGACAGATCAAATCCAACAAAAAAAAAAAAAAGGAAATCAAAAAGATCCAGAATGAAAATGAGATGAAAGGGATTGATCTAAAACGCTGCTTGAGCTGTCACTTTAGGACGATTAGATAAACAAGAGAATCTGCATTCCCTGCAAAATAGTGTTGAAAAATGTTTTGCTGAAATAGCTGAAGTTAGGTCAAGCAAAAGATATCTAAAATGAGCAAAAATAAGCTTAAATTGTTTAATCAATTTGAAATGAGTGTCCTGATGCATCTCAGTAATCCAGGTAAAAAATCAAAAAGAAAAAAAATTGTATAGGTCCTCTGGACGGGTTCTTCTCCAATGAAACGTTTCGTCTCTCCTCCAAGAGACTTCTTCAGTCTGAGAGTTTCAGGCAAAATTCAGGCTTTTAAGCCCTGCCTCCATGTGACTGATACTCACATCACATGGCTATCGTTAAGTGCCAGGAGGACTGCGACCAGTTGTACATCGGGGAAACAAGGCAACCACGGTTCAAAAGAATGTCCCAACACAGA